CTCTTTCCTCAATGGCTGTGAATGCCGAAGCAAACCACAACCCCAGTTCAGATGGCCTATGTTTTGAAGATTCAGGATCTTCCTTTGGTGCCAAAAGAACCGGCTTGAAGGCGCTTGGGTCTCCTCAATGTTATCCAGGACGATCTGGACATAAAGCATGAGTCCCAAGGGTAAAAAACCTCAGAATTGGTGCTAAGAGGTAACTTAAATCAGGGTCCTTTAGAATCAAGTCTTTTACTCACGTCCATGTTGCAGGAACTCTGATGGCAGAATGAAGAAGAAAAAGGAAGTTCTCCCCTCTTGCAGGAAGAGGTGGAGCCAAACAGTACTGATTGACAGCTACAAGCAACCAACCCATACAACTATACATAAACAGTGTAAAAATGGGCAGGATTAAGCATGATACAACAGTTTAAATCTTACAACTAACAGTTCTATACATAGGTGGCGCCACTCGCGCCGTCACATTTCCTGTCTGGAATTCCCCTGCTTTTTAAGTGTTGCTCTTTATTTACTGTACTGATTTTAGCATTTTTTAAATATTGGTAGTCAGATTTGTTCATTTCCACGGTTTCCGTCTTTCTGTTGAAATTGTCCACCTGCTTGTGGATGTCAATGGCTTCTCTGTGTAGTCTGACATGATGGTTGTTAGAGTGGTCCAGCATTTCTGTGTCCAGGTTGGTTCATCAGGTGCTCTGCTATGGCTGACTTCTCTGGCTGAATTAGTCTGCAGTGCCTCCCACTTCTCAAATCATGCTGGAAAGGGGATTCTGTGGGGTGTCCTCTTAAAAAACTAACTTTTGCACAGGTTCTAGTAAGCAACAATATAGATTTTACAAATCTGAGGTCTCAAACCCAGATGATAAGACTGAAATGGCAAGATTCAGAGTCAAATGACATTTACCATGGTCCCACAAGTCATAGCAACTATCTCTTTGTCACAGCATGGGATTTTTCTCCAGAACATTTAGCATGCTTTGATAGTTGCTGGCTGTTATTCATAAATGTTTTCCTCGTGGAATATGCTTTTTGGAGTAATGGGTAGATTTTCTTGCTTGAAAAAAATAAAAAGATTGGTCTTTGTGTTTTGCTTTGTCCCGGCAATCCTGGATGAACTCTGCAGTCTGCACAGACCTTCACTGACTTTAATTCAAGGTCAGGAATCCTGTGTCCCTTGAGCTGTTAGTAACTAGTGCCATGATCTCTTAATTATTGTTCTGGCTAACTGGCACCAGTGAAAACTGCACCCTCTCCATCTCTTCCAGTTTGGAAAAGACAGTCCCACTTTGTCCTCTGTCACCCATTTTTTTTAAGCTACTGTTTAATGTGCCACTTTTTCTTTTCTCCTACCATTTTCTCCATTTATTTATTTATTTATTTATTTACTTTGCTTGTATACCGCAGTTTCTCAGCCTGTAGGCGACTCAGCGCGGTTCACAACAAGAGCAAAAAGACAATCATAACAATATACAATTTAAAAACCATTAAAAGCATAATATACAAAGTAATGACACATCAATAACAACACATTAACGTCTCGTAACTAGAATCGTGATCCAATTCGTCGTCTACAATTCCGTTCCTATATTCATCGTATTCATTGCACTGTTTATCCGAATGCCTGTTCAAACAGCCAGGTTTTTAGTTTTCTTCGAAACACCATTAACGTAGGAGCTGATCTAATGTCCAAGGGAAGGGCGCTCCACAGCCGAGGGGCCACCACAGAGAAGGCCCTGTCCCTCGTCCCGCCAGCCGTGCTTGTGAAGCAGGCGGGATTGAGAGCAGGGCCTCCCCAGAAGATCTTAGAGTTCTGGTGGGTTCATAGGCAGAGATACGTTCGGATAGGTAGCTTGGGCCAGAACCGTTTAGGGCTTTATAGGCCAACGCCAGCACTTTGAATTGAGCCCGGTAGCAAATCGGCAGCCAGTGGAGCTGGTGCAGCAGAGGAGTTGTATGCTCCCTGCGCTCCGCTCCTGTTAGTATCATGGCTGCCGAACGTTGGACTAATTGGAGCTTCCGAGCCGTCTTCAAAGGCAACCCCACGTAGAGAGCGTTGCAGTAGTCTAAACGGGATGTAACCAGAGCGTGGACTACCGTGGCCAAGTCAGACTTCCCAAGGTACGGGCGCAGTTGGCGCACAAGCTTTAACTGTGCAAATGCTCCCCTGATCACTGCCCTGAGGTTCCAAGCTCAGCGATGAGTCCAGGATCACACCCAAGCTGCGAACCTGCGTCTTCAGGGGGAGTGTAACCCCATCCAACACAGGCTGTAACCCTATGCCCTGTTCGCCTTTGACTGACCAGGAGTACCTCTGTCTTGTCTGGATCCAGTTTCAATTTGTTCGCCCTCATCCAGACTGTCACAGCTGCCAAGCACTAATTCAAGACCTGAACAGCCTCCTTAGTAGCAGGTGGAAAGGAGTGATAGAGTTGGACATCATCTGCATACAGATGACACCGCACCCCGAAACTCCGGATGATCTCCTCAATATACTTCAGTCTCTACAAACTAAATGAACATTTATTTATTTACTGCATTTCTATACTGCTCTTCTAACCCCGGGGGGAATCAGAGCAGTTTACAACATGGTCGTACAACATATACAATACTAATATATTAGTATGACTATATTACGTTATTATTGTTATTATTATATTGTATTATTATTGGTATTATACCATATTACATTATAATCTATATATATAAAAGTGCTCTGTGCAGAATGAGTACCTTAAAAACAAAAGAACCAATGAACGAAATCACACCAAATTTGGCGACAAAACATCTCACTACACAAGGAGTGACCATCACTCAAAAAATTATGATTTTGTCATTTGTGAGTTGTAGTTGCTCGGATTTATAGTTCACCTATAATCAAAGCACATTCTGAACTCCACCAACGATGGAATTGAATCAAACGTGGCACACAGGCCTTCCATAACCAACAGAAAATACTAGCAGCGTTTGGTGGACACTGACCTTGAGTTTGGGAGTTGTAGTTCACCTACATCCTGAGAGCACTGTGGACTCAAACAATGATGGATCTAGACCAAACTTGGCACGAATATTCCATATGCTCAAATATGAACACAGATGGAGTTTGGGGGAAAGAGACCTTGGAATTTGGGAGTTGTAGTTACTGGGATTTATAGTTCACCTACAATCAAAGATCACCAGACTGGGCCACAGCAACGCATGGCAGGGGGCAGCTAGTATTATTATAAATATTATATGTATATACCAGTGTTTCTCAACCTGGGGTCAGAACCCCTGGAGGGGGTTCACAAGGGGGTTTCAGAGGGGTCACCAAAGACCATCAGAAAACACATATTTCTGATGGTCTTAGGAACCATTTTAGAAGAGAAGACTGAAGATCTCTCCGCCTGTTCTCTTCCTTTTTGAAAACAGACGATGAATCCTCCCACCAAAAGCCATCCTCTGCTGTGATTGGTGGGCCTCTCAGCTGACCTCTCAGCCAAGGAAAGAGCTGTTTCTGAGACTTCAAATGGGAAGGGGAGAGCAGGCATGTTTGGTGCACAGCAGAGTGGTGTGCATATGCTGGCAAGGGAGAGCATGCAAAGTGGGAGGGAGGCTCGCGACTGTGAATCCCTTCAAGACATGGAGGTTCTGTGTAGGAAGTTTGGCCCAATTCTATAGATGATGGGGTTCAGAATTCTCTTTGATTGTAGGACAACTATAAATCCCAGCAGCTACACCTCCAAAATGTCAAGGTCTATTTTCTCCAAACTCCAGTGTTCACATTTGAACATATTGAGTATTCATGCCAAATCCAGATCTATCATTGTTTGAGTCCAAAGTGCTCTCTGGATGTAGGTGAACTACAACTCCAAAACTCAAGCTCAATGCCCACCAAACCCTTCCAGTATTTTCAGTTGGTCATGGGAGTTCTCTGTTCCAAATTTGGTTCAATTCCATTGTTGGTGGAGTTCATAATGGTCTTTGATTGTAGGTGAACTAGAAATCCCAGCAACTACAACTCTCAAATGACAAAACCAACCCCCTCAACCCCATCAATATTCAAATTTGTGTGTATTGGGTATTTGTGCCAAATTTGGTCCAGTGAATGAAAATCCATCCTGCATATCAGATATTTACATTACAATTCATAAAAGTAGCAAAAATACAGTTATGAAATAGCAACAAATATAATTTTATGGTTGGGGAATCACCACAACATGAGAACCTGTATTAAGGGGTGGCAACATTGGGAAGGTTGAGAAACACTAGTATTTATGTTATATTATTAACCTAGCACAATATTAGCATTATATAATACTACATTGTATTATACCACTATACTGCAATATAATTAGTAATTTGCATCTACTCATTTGCACTTAGTAAGTAGGGGGAAGAGGAGAGAAGGCAACATGTGCTTCCCTATAGACTCATGCTGCTTCTATATTGTCATATAATCCAGATTACCAAAACAGATAATCCATATTATCTTCTTTGATTTGGATTATATGAGTCTACGCTGCCATATAATGCAGTTCAAAGCAGATAATCTGGATTTTATATGGCAGTGTAAATAGGGCCTCAGGCAACAGCAGACCTGTGTAGAAATAACTCTTCCATTAAAAAAAAAACCTCTCATTCCTCTCTCTCTCTCCTATCTTGCTTGGAAAGGGGTAGCGAACCAACAGCTAAGAAGAGTAGATGACTCTTTGGGGCTCTATTGAGGATTTATTCCATGAGTGAGCAAATGATTGTGGATCCTCCTGACAGTCAGCATGTCACATTTTAGTATGATGGAAATTACCTCTTGTAATTCCTGACATCTTCAGACCTTTAGTTTGGGGTGGAGTAGGGTCACTTGGGAAGCCCAGGAGGGTTGGCTAAAGCACTTGCTTTGGATTGACTTGACTTGATTTGGGATGAAAAACTGTCCCCAAATTGGTCCGTGGCTTTAGCGAGTGACAGGAGTCACACTTTGTTCACTCTTGATTTATTCCTTAGCAGAAAATCAATGTGGGAAAATGGAGAATAGTGGTGAGTAGGGCCACTATCCTTGCAACAACCCCTTTCCACTTCCTTCCTCCTCTTTATTTTGCCAGCCATTTCATCCTCTCTTATGTGAGCCAATGTAGTTTCTCAGGTATCTTCTACACTGCTCTACATCCAGGAACTGATCCTAGATTATCTGCTTTAAATTGCCTTATATGAGCCCCCTTCTACACATCTGTATAAAATATAGTTTATCTGCTTTGAACTGGATTATCTGGCAATATAGACTCAGATAATCCAGTTCAAAGCAGATAATATGGATTATCTGCCTCAATATTCTGGATTATAATGCAGTGTAGGAGTCGTCACTGTCAGATAAACTGGGAAAATCAAATAATCTGTTTATTGTACTTGTGTCATTGTGTTTGTGCTTATGTATTGTTGTCTGCGTGTGGCACTTGGAGTGCATCTGTGAGCTGCCATGAGTCCCTTTGGGGAGATGGTGGTGGGGTACAAATAAAGATTTATTATTTATTATCATCATCACAATCTGGGATCAGATCCTGTCATGTAGGGACAGTGTGGAAAGTGTGGTGGAATAAAAACCACGCATACTTCATGTCTTTACCAATCACACACTGTCTTGCTAGAGAAAAGATATGCCACATGGATGATCAGTAAAGAATAAGCTGTTTACACTTTGTTATGCAGAGCAACATATATACAGTTACGCAAACAGTTGCATTGACTAACACAATGTCCTTTGAGAGAGATTCAGATGTTCCTTGGGTGTCCATGTGAAGGATCTTATTGCTGTCCACAGTGAGAGCTGTCCAGCAGTGGAACTCTCTACCCCAGAGTATGGTGGAGGCTCCTTCTTTGGAGGCTTTTAAACAGAGGCTGGATGGCCATCTGTCGGGGGTGCTTTAAATGCAATGCTACTGCTTCTTGGCAGAGGGTTGGACTGGATGGCCCACAAGGTCTCTTCCAACTCTATGATTTTATTATCTTCTTCCAGCAGCTCAGAAGCAGAAAATATACACTAACTTGGCTTGGCAATCTCCTGCACAGAAAACCTAAACATGTAACTGTTGTCAAAATTCCCAGGCTCAGCTAGCCTCTCGTGCATGGGCGAACCAATCAGCTTTGCATTTTTCAAGTAACACACTCACCAACTGATTTTTACATGCTCCAACAGAAGAGCCCTCACTCTCAACCTTCCCTCCCTGACTGCATCTCTTTTTCATTTGCCACCCTGTCTGCCACTGCCTTCTCCCAAAAGGAGACTCCTGACTGGGATGCCAGCCCTTGGCATCAGCCCTGCCCTCAAGATTATTTGCCAATACATCATTGCAATGGGAAATAGCCGAGAATCCCATGGGTTCAGGTCACGGCATGTGGAAACCATCTGTTGTTGTGGGGAGAAATCATTCTCACTGTTAGCCGGTGCCTGTTGAGGTTTTCCTTCCGCATCATTTCCTCCGGGCTGAGTCTCATGCCTTCCATCACGGAAGCAATGCTGTAGCTGTTTGGCCTCTCGACAGAGGCAAGCCATGACAACTGCGGAACAATTCTCAAAGTTGGGAGGCTGGCCTTTGCTTCTCCCCTTCCCCGCAGATAAGAATCACCCCCAAGCATTTGTGTCTTGGGCACAGCCTGATCTGGAAAATTGAGAAGGAAAACCACAGCCGAAGGAGGGAGAGGGCAGAGCATGATTCATAGGGAAGAGGTAGAAAAATGTGATTTCCTGCTGACAGATCTGACTGTGTAATGGGCAGAGTAGAAATTGAATCATCCTGGCATGTGAAGATCCAACACTTCAATTTTCTGTCATAGAGGTTGCTGGGCAGTCAATCATTTGGCTGGCAAGATGTTGATGTCATGTTTTTGGAATACCTTTGTTAGGCCATTCATTGCACTGAATTTCAAAATCCACTGGCTTCTTCATCAGAAAAGTTTGTAAAAAAAAAGTAGGCTGATGGTGTTAGACTCACAGGTCAGTATACCCTCTAACTCAGTGGTTCTCAACCTTTCTAATGCGGCAATCCCTTAATACAGTTCCTCATGTGGTGACCCACAACCATAAAATTATTTTCATTGCAACTTCGTAACTATAATTTTGCTACTGTTATGAATCGTAGTGTAAATATCCGATATGCAGGATGTACTATTTTCATTCACTGGACTGCTACTATAATTTTAAAGAGCCAATATATGGAATAAGTTTTAATATTTATATTGGAAAGTGCTTATTGTATTTATTGTATTGTACTTTTAAAGGTCGTATATTATGTGATGTCATGGCCTATGGCTGGTATAATAAAAAATCATTCACTGGACCAAATTTGGCACAAATACCCAATACGTCCAAATTTGAATACTGGTGGAGTTGGGGGGTGGGATTGATTTTGTCATTTGGGAGTTGTATATAAAAGAGCACTGCGGATTCAAACAATTATGGATCTAGACCAGTGTTTCTCAACCTTCCTAATGCCACGACCCCTTAGTACAGTTCCTCATGTTGTGGTGACCCCCAATCATAAAATTATTTTCATTGCTACTTCATAATTGCAATTTTGCGACTGTTATGAATCATAATGTAAATATCTGATATGCAAGTTGTATTTTAATTCACTGGACCAAATTTGGCACAAATATCCAATACGCCCAAATTTGAATACTGGTGAGGTTGAGGGCAAATTGATTTTGTCATCTGGAAGCTGTAGTTGCCGGGATTTATAGTTCACCTACAATCAAAGAGCATTCTGAACCCTTCCAACGATAGAATTGGGCCAAACTTCCCACACAGAAACCCCATGACCAACAAAAAATACTGTTTTTTCTTATGGTTATTGGTGTCCCCTCTGACACCCCCTTGCGACCCCTCTGGGGGTCCCGACCCCCAGGTTGAGAAACACTGATCTAGACCAAACTTGGCACTCAATATGCCCAAATGTGAACACTGGTGGAATTTGGGGAAAAATAGACCTTGACATTTGGGAGATGTAGGGCCCTTCCACACAGCCCTATATCACAGAATTCCAAGGCAGAAAATCCCACATTGTCAGAGTGTGGGCTCAGATAACCCAGTTCAAAGCAGCTATTGTGGGATTTTCTGCCTTGATATTCTGGGATATAGGGATGTGTGGAAGGACCTGTAGTTGTTGGCATTATAGTTCACATACAATCAAAGAGCATTCGGAATCCCACCAATGATAGAATTGGGCCAAACTTCCAACACAGAAACCCCATGACCAACAGAAAATACTGGAGGAATTTGGGATAAATTGACAGTAATTTAGGGGAGATGTAGTTTACCTACATCCAGAGAGAACTGTGAACCCAAACAACTATGCCAAAATTATCTGATAGTCTTTGGCAACCCTTCTGAAACCCCCTCATGACCCCACCCCAGGAGCCCAACCCCCAGGTTGAGAAACACTTCTCTAACATTTCACAGATGGAAACCGTGCTGCCAAGCAACATCAGAATGCCATGGAAGAAGTTATTAATGTGAAAGAACACATAGACTAGGACTCCTTCCACACAGCTGTATAAAATCGACATTGAACTGGATTATATGGCAGCGTGGACTCAGATAATCCAGTTCAAAGCAAATATTGCAGATTATCTGCCTTGATATTCTGGGTTATATGGTTGTGTGGAAGGGCCCTAGGCTGCAACCGTTTGCTTTTGCCTGAGCCTTAGCCCTCCATTTCCTTAACCCATTCATCCAAATAGTTATATGCATGAGTTTGCTAGCTGGTGATTTGTCAGAATGATGTTTCGTAGACAGGTACTGATATCCCATCAACAGCCAAGTTGCCACTGGAACAATGCCATCCAACTCTCCTCTGCAGTTGTAACTTGTTCTTTCACAAATAGTAAATTTTGGACTTCAATGAGTTCTTATTTGGAAAAGAATAAAGAAGTCACGTTTTTCATCTGTCTAAATTTCAGAGTCTATCAAAAGAGATGTTGTGGACGGCAGAGGTTCTCTTGCCACTCTCTCCATTGTGAATAATAGGGCGTTTGGTGTAAACCTTGACCCATTTTGTGTCCTGGCTGTTGGTGGGGGCCCCGATCCATTTTTTGGGAGCCTCTGGAAATCAGGAGCGCAGATATCTGTTTTCACTCTGGGTGCTGAAATATCCGTTTTCTATCAAACCATTATTTGGGGGGGGGGGGTGGCTTCTCATCCAGGTTCCCCATCCTGGCATGCGCTTTAAGGAGGCATCTTCTTGCCTGCTGTTTCTAATCTCTAGAGGAGGTACTCAGCTCCAGGCACTGGCAGGCGTGCACTTTCTGGCCTGCATGCCGCACACACACTCTCCTTCCAAGGCAAGGAGGCAAGTTCTGTTTTTTTACTCTAGAGTAAGAGGTGCTCAGTTGTAGGACTGGCAGGCATGCATGCTTTCTGGGACTGCATATCACACACACACTCTCCTTGGAAAGTGTGTATGTGGCATGCAGGGCAGGCCCAGACACCACGAGCATCCGGAAATACCTACAGCCAAGCGCCTCTTACTCTAGAGTAAGAGGCACTCAACTGCAGGCACTGGCAGTCACATATGCTTTCTGAGCCTGTACGCCACACACACACWCTCTTCCAATGCAAGGAGGCAAGTTCTGTTTTTTACTCTAGAGTAAAAGGTGCTCAGTTGCAGGACTGGCAGGCATGCATGCTTTCTGGGCCTGCATYTCACACACACACTRTCKTTGGAAAGTGTGTGTGTGTGTGGCATGGAGGTCAAGCTCAGAAACCATGAGCACCTGGAAATACCTACAGGCGAGGTACTGGTAGTCACGCATGCTTTCTGGGCCTGCATGCCACACACATACYCACTCTTTTTCCAAGGCAATGAGGCAAGTTCTGGGAGGRGCTCAGCTGCAGGCACAAGTGCTTTCTCTCCTGGGCTACACTATGCCAGCCAGCCACGCACTCTCCAAGGCATTTTAAGGAGGCTTCCCACTTCCAGATAAGGAAGAGCGATGACCTCCTAGAAGAGGAGAGCAGTTTTCAGGGAATAAGGGTTTACTTTTTATTTGCTGGGGGATTGATAAAAAAGATTAAACTGTGATGCCGAAAAGCAGGCCAGGAGCTGGGACTCCCATTTGCTTTCACGTCGAGCTGATTTTCATAAAGGGTGGGGGGGGGGGCTTCCCATTACATGCTCCCAAAGGACTGAAAGAAATGAAAGAAACAAAGGAAACAGGAGAAACAATTTCTGTGCACAACTCTAGTGACTAACCCTAACCTATTCTCTCTACCTACAGGTTGCAAAGTGTCACATACCAATGTCGCATCCCAGACAGTGAGGAAATTATTGGAGAAAAAACGACTAGAGCGGTCAGTGCCAGGAGACAGCGCTAGATCCCTGGTGAGTCATCCACTGAAACAAGTTATGATTCCTTGTCCTCCTCTCCCACCCACCCACTCCCCGTTTTTCACACACTTCCCCTGTGAACACCTGCAGGGCGTTTAGCAGCCCTTAGAATTTTATGGTAAATCTAATGAAACAGGTAGGATTTACATAAGTAAGGTCTAACATGTCATAATCATTTCAGTGGTTCTAACACTATTTGGACTAAGATTGGATTGGTGGACTATAAGTTGCCTTCAAGTCGTTTCTGTCTTATTGCGACGCTAAGGCATACCTGTCACAGGGTTTTCTTGGCAAGATTTGCAGAGGGTTTTGCCTTTGTCTTCCTCTGAGGCTGAGAGAGTGTGACTGACCAATGGCCAGTGGCTTTCCATGGCCAAGAATGGATTTGAAACCTGGTCTCCAGAGTCCAATGATGCATCTTGACCTTAGAATGAATGTGTATTGAAACCACTTTAACTGCCATGGCACAATGCTAGGGGATCATGGGAAGTGTAGTTTGGCGAGGCACCAGGACTCTTTGATGGAGAATGCTGAAGACCTTGTAAAACTTCAACTTCCAAAACAGGCAAAGTGGTATCAAACCACATTAATTCTACAGTGCAGATGGATCCACAGTCCAGTACACAAACGACTACACCAGTTGTTCTCAAACTTCCTAATTATTATTTTTTTATGTATCAGGAGCGACTTGAGAAACTGCAAGTTGCTTCTGGTGTGAGAGAATTGGCCGTCTGCAAGGACATTGCCCAGGGGATGCCCGGATGATTTGATGTTTTTATCATCCTTGTGGGAGGCTTCTCTCATGTCCCCATATGAGGAGCTGGAGCTGATAGAGGAAGCTCATCCGCCTCTCCACGGATGCGAACCTGCGACCTGTCGGTCTTCAGTCCTGCCGGCACAGGGGTTTAACCCACTGCGCCACTGGAGTTTAACCCACTGTGTAACCTTCCTAATGCCGCAACCCCTCAATACAGTTCCTCATGTTGTAGTGACCCCAATCATAAGATTATTTTTGTTCTACTTCATAACTGTAATTTTGCTACTGTTTTGAAATGTAATGCAAATATCTGATATGCGGGATGTATTTTCATTCACTGGACCAAATTTGGCACAAATACCCGGTGCGTCCAAATTTGAATACTGCTGGGGGGGATTGATTTTGTCATTTGGGAGTTGTAGTTGCTGGGATTTATAGTTCACCTACAATCAAAGAGCATTCTGAACTGCATCAATGAAGGAATTGAACCAAATTTGGCACACAGAATTCCCATAATGGAAGGATTTGGTGGTCATTGAGCTTGAGCTTTGGAGTTGTAGTTCCCCTACATCCAAGTTTGATCCAGATCCATCCTTGTTTGAGCCCTGTGGACTCAAACAAGGATGGATTTGGATCAAATTTGGCATGGAAACTCAATATGCCTAAATGTGAACACTAGTGGAGTTTTGGGGAAAATAGACCTTGACATTGGGGGGTTGTAGTTCCTAGAATTTATAGTTCACTTACAATCAAAGAGTATTCTGAACCTCACCAACGATAGAATTAGGCCAAACTTCCCACACAGAACTCCAATGACCAACAGAACATACTGTGTTTCCTAATTGTCTTTGGCGACCCCTCTGACACCTCCCTCATGACCTCTTCCAGGGGTCCTGACCCCCAGGTTGAGAAACGTTAAGCTAGACAAATGCAAGATACTCCACTTTGGCAGGAAAAACAAAATGCAAAGATACAAAATGGGGGACGCATGGCTCGAGAGCAGTACATGTGAAAAAGATCTTGGAGTCCTCGTGGACAACAAGTTAAACATGAGCCAACAATGTGATGTGGCGGCAAAAAAAGCCATTGGGATTTTGGCCTGCATCAATAGGAGCATAGTGTCTAGATCCAGGGAAGTAATGCTACCCCTCTATTCTGCTTTGGTTAGACCACACCTGGAATATTGTGTCCAATTCTGGGCACCACAATTCAAGAGAGATATTGACAAGCTGGAATGTGTCCAAAGGAGGGCGACTAAAATGATCAAGGGTCTGGAGAACAAGCCCTATGAGGAGCGGCTTAAGGAGATGGGAATGTTTAGCCTGAAGAAGAGAAGGCTGAGAGGAGATATGATAGCCATGTATAAATATGTGAGAGGAAGCCACAGGGAGGAGGGAGCAAGCTTGTTTTCTGCTTCCCTGGAGACTAGGACGCGGAACAATGGCTTCAAACTACAAGAGAGGAGATTCCATCTGAACATGAGGAAGAATTACCTGACTGTGAGAGCCGTTCAGCAGTGGAACTCTCTGCCCCGGAGTGTGGTGGAGGCTCCTTCTTTGGAAGCTTTTAAACAGAGGCTGGATGGCCATCTGTCAGGGGTGATTTGAATGCAATATTCCTGCTTCTTGGCAGGGGGTTGGACTGGATGGCCCATGAGGTCTCTTCCAACTCTTTGATTCTATGATTCTAGAGCCAGATGCAAATCACAGAAACTCTAATGTAAAGAACAGGATATGTGCAATCTAAGAGAGTACTAGATTTCCATTTTTGCAAGTCCCTGGCAGATACCTTACAGCACCCTTAGGTCAGCACCTTCAGACCCTAGCTGAGCAGGATTCAGAGAAGCAGGATTTGGTGGAGAAAGGAAGGTAGTACAACTGTGTTCCTTCAGGTTTTGAGGACTTTCTTCTCCTGTCATCTCATACCTATTGACAAGATGGATGGACCATAGATGCACTCCAAGTTTTTCTTTTCCAATATTTATTTATTTATTTACTATATGAAAGCTTTGGTGTTCTAACGCGTTTGTTTTTAAAGACGGGATTCTAAGCAGGAGGCAACTGTAATAGGCAATTGCCAAAGAATGTCCTTTTTGCCGCTGCACATTACATTTGGCAGCAAATACTTTTTTTTAGTTTCAAGGTTTTGAAAATCAATTGTGCATTAGATTCAATGGCTCATTAGACTCAAGTAAATACAGTATTCGTTGGTTCCAGGCACGCACAGTTATATATATATATAAAACAATTTGGCATCTGTTCAGCTGTACCCCTTTACCTTACCCCTATGAGGCAAGGAAATATATTTCCTGGAAACGATGTGAGCTTGCTCACTTAAAGCTCTAATTTCTTAAAAACAAAGGTAATTCTTCCTCAGTCTGGGCATACTGCCAACACTTCACAGATGAAGACTAAGATACCTGTGGCCAAGCAACATCAGATTGTGGTCAAGAAGGCAAAAGTTATTAATGAGGAAGTATAGATTAGTTGGAAGTGGATGTGAAGATGTGTTGTCGAAAGCTTTAATGGCCGGAATCACTGGGTTGCTGTGAGTTTTTCTGGGCTGTATATCCATGCTCCAGAAGCATTCTCTCCTGACGTTTCGCCCACATCTATGGCAGGCATCCGCAGAGGTTGTGAGGTCTATTGGAAACTAGGCAAGTGAGGTTTATATATCTCTGGAATGTTCAGAGTGGGAGAAAGAACTCTTGTCTGCTTGGAGCAAGTGTGAATGTTGCAAATGGCCACCTTGATTAGCATTTAATGGCCTTGTAGCTTCAAAGCTTAGCTGAATGTATTTATTTTTAAAGCATCTATATTCCGTCCTTCTCACCCCAAAGGGGACTCAGGACGGAGCACAACATATAAACAGCAAACATTCAATGCTGAAACATCCTAGACTATGTTGTTGTTCATTCGTTCAGTCATTTCCTAGACTAGGGGTCCCCAAACTATGGCCCGCGGGCCATATGCGGCCCACCGAGGGCATTTCTCCGGCCCGCGCGGCCTGGCCTGGCCTGACGCCCACCCGGCGCCGCTCCGCCAATTGCGGACACCCTCTGCTCCGGCCGCTCTGCCTGTGTGGGAGGGAGAAGCCTCCCAGGTGGGTCCTCTGCAGAGCAGAGCAGCCGGAGCAGAGGGTGTCCGCAATTGACACCGGAGCAGAAGGCGTCCGCAAACTATAAATCCCTGCAAATACAACCCCCAAATGCCACCAGTGTTCACATTTGGACATATTGAGTATCAGTGCCAAGTTTGGTCCAGATCTATCATTGAGTCCACAGTGATTTATGGAGGCAGGTGAACTACAACTCCAAAACCAAAGGACACTGCCCACCAAACCCTTCCAGTATTTTCTGTTGGTCATGGGAGAACTGTGTGCCAAGGTTGGTTCAATTCCATCGTTGGTGGGGTTCAGAATGCTCTTTGATTGTAGGTGAACTATAAATCGCAGCAACTACAACTCCCAAATGACAATTCTATTTTCCCCAAACTCCACCAGTGTTCAAATTTGGGCATATTGAGTATTTGTGCCAAGTTTGATCCCGATCCATCATTGTTTGAGTCCACAATGATCTCTGAATGTAGGTGAACTACAACTCCAAAACGAAAGGACACTGCCCACCAAACCCTTCCAGTATTTTCAGTTGGTCATGGGAGAAATGTGTGCCAAGTTTGGTTCAATTCCATCGTTGGTGGGGTTCAAAATGCTCTGTGATTGTAGTTGAACTATAAATCCCAGCAACTACAACTCCCAAATGACAAAATCAATTTTTTGAGTGAAGGACATACATTGGGTTGTTAGGTGTCTTGTGTCCAAAATTGGTGTCAATTCGTCCAGTGGTTTTTGAGTTCTGTTAATCCCACAAACGAACATTACATTTTTATTTATATAGAAGTGTGGGTTTTTGTTTTTTGATTTGGGGGGGGGGGGTTGCACTGCAAATAATATATGTGCAGAGTGCATAGGAATTCATTCATTTTTTTTCAAATTATAATCCGGCCCTCCAACAGTTTGCGGGACTGTGACCCGGCCCTCTGTTCAAAAAGTTTGGGGACCCCTGTCCTAGACTATACACCTACAAAAACATTAAAATCACTTATCCTGATGTTAAAATCCTCTGTTTAAAACTGCCTTAACAACCATATCGAATCTAGTTGGTATACTAAGAGTTCCTATCACTGCCTCTTTACACAGTCCCATAGGCTCGGTCCCACAGCCAAGTTTTTATCATCCTTCTAAAGGAAAGGAGGGAGGGGGCTGACCTAATCTCATTAGGAAGGGAGTTCCATAGCCGAGGGGCAATCACTGAGAAGGCCCTCTCTCTTGTCCATGCCAGTCATACATGAGATAGTGGCAGGACGGAGAGCAGGGCCTCCTTGGATGATCTTAATCTCTGCGATGGTTCGTAGAGGGAGATATGTTTGGACAGGTAAATTGGACCAGGGGGATTCTTTGTTAAGAGGTGTTAGCTGGCCCTGATTGATTCTTGTCTGGAATTCCCCTGCTGTTGTTTTTTGTGTTGCTCAAAAAGCAATGTATTATTTGAGAACACAGAAATGCTGGGCTACTCTAGCAACTACCATCTCAGACTGCACAGAGAAGCCATTGAAATCCACAAGCATGTGGACAATTTCAACAGAAAGGAGGAAAACCATGAAAATGAACAAAATCTGGCTACCAGTATTAAAAAACTCTAAAATCAGGACAGTAAATAAAGAGCAACTAAAAAGCAGGAGGTAGGCTGTTAGGAATTGTTCCAGAAGCTTTCAAAACAAAGCATCACCTCATGGGATGGCTGGCGAACAAGGAGATGCTTTATTCCCCCCCCCCCCCCCCCCAACCAATCACTGCTATATATTTTCTGTTCATTGTGGGAGTTCTGTGTGCCATATTTGGTTCAATTCCGCCATTGGTGGAGTTCATAATGCTCTTTAATTGGGTTGTTGTAGGTTTTTCGGGCTATATGGCCATGTTCTAGAGGCATTTTCTCCTGACGTTTCGCCTGCATCTATGGCAAGCATCCTCAGAGGTAGTGAGGTCTGTTGGAAGTAGGAAAATGGGTTTATATATCTGTGGAATGACCAGGGTGGGACAAAGGACTTATGTCTGCTGGAGCTAGGTGTGAATGTTTCAACTGACCACCTTGATTAGCATTTAATGGCTTGGAAGTGCCTGGGGGGAATCTTTTGTTGAGAGTGATTTGATGTGCCTGATTGTTTACTCTCTGTTGTTTTGCTGTTGTAATTTTTGAGTTTTTTAATACTGGTAGCCAGATTTTGTTCATTTTCATGGTTTCTTCCTTTCTGTTGAAATTGTCCATATGCTTGTGGATTTCAATGGCTTCTCTGTGTAGTCTGACTACCTCTGAGGATGCTTGCCATAGATGCAGGCGAAATGTCAGGAGAAAATGCCTCTAGAACATGGCCATATAGCCCAGAAAAACCTACAACAACCCAGTGATTCCGGCCATGAAAGCCTTCGACAATACATGCTCTTTGATTGTCGGTGAGCTATACATCCCAGTAACTACAACTCGCATATGTGAAGGTCTATTTTCCCCCAAGAGCACCTCAAGAGCGCCCCTGGGCAAAATCAACTATACTGCAAATGCTTACTTTGCGTAATGGGTTGAGCCGCCCCTGGCTGTCATCATGCAATTCACATCCAAGAATTATCAATAAACTGCATATGATCTTGTTCAATAAGTTGTTTGTTTGTTTGTTTTCATTTTGGTAATCCCAGGCCCCTTCCACACAGGTATATAATCCAGAATATCAAGGCAGAAAATCCCTGCCTTGATATTCTACTTTGAACTGGGATATCTGAGTCCACACTGCCATACATTCCAGTTCAAAGCAGATAATGTGGGATCTCCTGCCTTGATATTCTGGCTGTGTGGAAGGCCCCCCAGATTCTGGTTTGCCAGGGATCAAATGGATGAGGGCTTCAGATTTAGGACAGTCCTCTCCCACAACAATTGTTTCCAGATTAAGGTCAGATCAAGAATCTGTCCAACCCCAACCGGCTTATTGTTTTCAGATACTTATTGCCAAACCCATCTTTCCTCCCTACAGATCCCTTCTGGAGCACCAGAAGGCAGACACCCAGGTGAGTAGATCCAGACATACTAGGATGCATTTGCTCTCCATCTCCTCTGTCTCTGCCTTGTTCTTTCTTGCTTCATTCCTTTATGCCAACGTTTCTAAAATGGGGCAGGGGAGGGGGTATTCCAACCTTACCAGACTTACCCAGAGACTGAGCTAGAAATGTTCCCAAAGATGCACCTCAGAATTAAATATATGACATGAGATGCAGATGTGAGATGCAATTTACACAACTTGTGTTGGATTGCTGTACATTTTTTGGGCTGTATTGCCATGTTCCAGAAGCATTTTCTCCTGACCTTTCGCCTGCATCTATGGCAGGCACCTTCAGAGGTTATGAGGTCTGTTGGAAACTAGGAAAATGGGGTTTTTATATATGTGGAATGTCCACAGTGGGAGAAAGAACTAACATTTCCCAACAAAGGATCCCCCAGGCAGCAGGCAGCCAAGCTTTGAAGCTACAAGGCCATTAAATGCTAATCTCAGCGGCCAGTTGCCTCAAGCAGACAAGAGTTCTTTCTCCCACCCTGGGCATTCCACATATGTTATGTCCGTTAGAGGTAGGTGTGAATGTTTCAATTGGCCACCTTGATTACCATTTAACAGCCTAGCAGTTTTCAAGGTGTGGCTTCTTACTGCCTAGGGGAATCCTTTGTTTAGAGGTGATTAGCTGTCCCTGGTTGTTTCTTGTCTGGAGCTCTCCTGTCTTTATTTACTTTATTTAGAGTTTTTTTAATACCCAGATTTTGTTCATTTTCATGTTTAATTCCCTTCTGTTGAAATTGTTCACATACTTGTGGATTTCAATGGCTTCTATGTGAACTGAAAAGGCAGTTGTTAGAGTGGTCCAGCATGTCTGCATTCTCAAATAATATGCTGTGTCCAGGTCTGCTGTGGTTCTGCCATTTTCCTAATTTCCAACAGACCTCACAACCTCTGAGGATGCCTGCCATAGATGCAGGCAAAACGTCAGGAGAAAATGCTTCTGGAACATGGCTATATAGCCCGAAAAACTTACAGCAACCTAGTGATTTCAGCCATGAAAGCCTTCAACAAAACATACAACTTCTGTTGTTTACAGAATGCTGGGTTTTGTTTTTGTGTGTGTGTGTGTGTGTTTTTGCTCTCTATTTTGGGACAAATCGTTTCCTTTAGAACAGGGCATGCATAGCCCTAGGAATGCTCACATGTGCATCTTCTGCCTTGTCTTGAAAGCAGGGCAGCCTTCTGCAGGTTTGAGCCACTCTTCTGTGTTCCATCTTGTCTTTACTTAGCCGAGTCCCTGTTCCCAGAGCCTGCGGGAGCCCCAGAAGGAGGAGGACCCACTCCAGGGCAGACAGCCATTCCAGAGTACCCTGTTGGTGCCCTTCCTGCCTGGCAGCCAGATGCCTCCAGCCAAGCAAGCTTCCCACCTGGCCGCCCCTACCAGCATGTCGATGCCACCAATAGCTTCTGCCTCCAGCCTCCAGCCCCTCCATTTGGTGTGATGAGCCCCTTCATTTACTTGGAAACAAATCTTTATGGGTCAACAGGACCAGCAGCCACTGAGCCAGTGCATGGCTCCAAGACGGCACCAGCCATGGATTTTGAGGTAAGGTTGGGGCAAAGGGTTGGGACAATCTCTAACTACGGTTGTATTTCCACTATATTCCCAGTAAAACTTGGGAAATAAACAAGCAACATATCAAAACTACCATTCCCAATATTTTTCAGAGGAAGCTGGGATAATGTGGCCTAAAATATGCATAGACTCAGGGGCCTTGGGCAGACTCAGGATGCATCTACCCTTTAGAAGCGATTTATTTATTTACTGTATTTGTATACTGCCCCTCTCAGCCTTCCGACGACTCGAGGTGGTTTACAAGGCAAAATTCAATGCCACAAAAACACAAGTACAATTTTAAAACATTAACAACAATAAAATCATTACAACAGTAATAAAACATAAGTCAATAAACCATCATTAAAAAACATTGTCCAGTCCCATCATGTTCCATTTTCCTATGTCCATTACTCAATATTTGCAAACGCTTGCTCAAAAAGCCATGTTTTCAGTTTTTTCTGAAATGTTAGGGGCAAAGAAGGTGATCTGATCTCTCTAGGGAGGGTGTTCCACAGTCAAGGGGCCACTGCCGAGAAGGCCCTGTCTCTCGTCCCCGCCAGACGTACTTGTGACAAAGGCGGGACCAAGAGCAGGGCCTCCCCAGACGATCTTAAAGTCCTTAGTGGTTTGTAAGGGGAGATGCATTCGAACAGGTAAGTTGGGCCAGAACCGTTTAGGGCTTTATAGGTCAAAGCCAGCACTTTGAATTGGGCCTGGTAACAACTCGGCAGCCAGTGGAGCTGGCGCAACAAGGGGGTTGTATGCTCCTGAGTGCTGCTCCTGTTAGCAACCTGGCTGCCGTCCATTGGACCAGTTGAAGCTTCCAGACCGTCTTCAAAGGCAACCTCACGTAGAGCGCATTGCAGTAGTCTATACGGGATGTAAGCAGAGCATGGACTACCATGGCCAAGTCAGACTTTCCAATATACGGATGCAGCAGTGCAGTTTGACACCATTTTAACTGCTATGGCTCAATTCTATGGAATTGTGGGAGTTGGAGTCTTACAGTCTTTAATCTTCTTTGCCAAAGCAGGAAAATCCCAAACTACAAATTCATTACATTGAGCCATGGCAGTTAAAATGGGGTCAAATGACATTGATTCTACAGTATAGATGCAACCTGAATTTGCCTGTTTGTAGTACCAGGGAAGAAGAGACTTTACAGTGTTAGATTTTGGAAAATATCAATCTCCGTAACCATTTGGGAAATGGGATACATGACCTTTTGGGGAAAACCACTGGTCATAGGAAGGGCATGACCTTGTTAGAAGTCACAACCTTTATGGAAAAATTGTGTTCACCAGCATTCATGCAAAACAACTAGGTCTCTCAGCTCTTAAACTGATGTATCTAGGTACGTCTTTGAACTGCCAGGGACAAAGACATGCCAATGCACAAAAACATTTATATTCAGCAGAGTTTCAGAAATGTTCCTTTAATTGCCCAAAAATATCTACTCTCCCTTGAAATATATTTGCCTTTAAATTATGCTCTCAAGAGACAAAATAAACAGTCTTTAAAAAAAAATAACAAAGTTGGTTTACTCACAAAGCTTCATGTATACAGCATACAGGCACTTTTCTTATGAATCCAGGATTTTGTAGTAGTTTCTCTGTGTAGGTTACACAGGGCATCTTCCTTGTAATCAACAGTCTATAGTCCAAAGCATCTCTGTTTTGGGAGTTTAATATAGTCTGTGTCTAATCTCTAAACATACTGCTCCTGCTGACATCTGATAACAAACCTCTACAGGCATCTCAAAGCAAATTTCGTCAAAATCTAAATCTAAAAGTGTAAATCTAAAATGGAGTCAGAATCCTGAACATGCTCAGTTCTGATCATGGTCTGCAACCCCTCCCACATCAAAGAGATTAGGTAAAATAGCAAACTAATATACACATATAATACAGTAAGAATTATGTACATAACAAATATTTAGTGGAGGCTTGAGAAGGTTGCTATTTCCAAAATTAGAGGCAGAAATTACAATGGCATGTCTACTAGAAGATTCTAAAAGATGTAATACAGAAACTTAATTTATTAAAGCTCTGCTATGAAGCTGTCTTCAGATTCAGAATTCTGTTCCATCTCATAGCTGTCTCAAGGCAAATAACCAATGGACAGGATGCTGCCAAACTGTAAGAAAATTGTTCTCAGTATCTTTATTCTAAACTAGCCGTCCCCTGCCACACGTTGCTGTGGCCCAGTCTGGTGATCTCGAAAATAAAGTAATGAGAAAGTGTTGGTTTCTAATATATGGAATGTCTTGATGCTTGTGGATAAACAGTACTTCTTGTTGTTTCTTTGTCAGTGTTGATGTAGAGATTGTCTGGTTTGCCTATTCTGGAAAATGCAACATATTATTGTCCTTCTTTAGGGGTCCCTTTCAAATCTATGATACTATATCTGTGTGTGTGTGTGTGAATCATATATATATCTATATCTATGGCTAGATGGCTCTTTGTCAGGAGAGCTTTGTTTACGTTTTCTCGCCCTGGTGAAGGGAGTTGGACTGAATTGCGTAAGTATTTTCTGTTGGTCATGGGGGTTCTGTGTGGGAAGTTTAGCCCAATTCTATCACTGGTGTGATTCAGAATGCTCTTTGATTGTAGGTGAACTATAAATCCCAGTAACTACGACTCCCAAATGATAAGGTCTATTTCCCCCAAACTCCATCTGTATTCATATTTGGGCATATAGAATATTCATGCCAAGTTTGGTCCAGATCCATCATTGTTTGAATCCACAGTGTTCTCTGGATGTAGGTGAACTACAACTTCCAAAGTCAAGGTCAATGCCCACTAAACCCTTCTAGTGTTTCTGTTGTCACGGGAGTTCTGTGTGCCACATTTGGTTCAATTCCATCATTGGTGGAGTTCAGAATGCTCTTGGATTGTAAGTGAACTATAAATCCCATCAATTACAACTCCCAAATGACAAAATCAATTTTTTTTTGAGTGAAGGACATACATTGGGTTGTTAGGTGCCTTGTGTCCAAATTTGGTGTCATAAGTTACATCATTATGTTCCACAGTAGAATCCTATAATGTTGGTCCAAGATATTTGTGGCCTGAAGGGGAGCAGCAACTAGTGTCCCCCATTCACAAAAGTAAGGAAGCATTATACTCAACCCAGACAAGCTTTTTTTTTTCATGTTAGGAGCGACTTGAGAAACTGCAAATCGCTTCTGGTGTAAGAGAATTGGTCGTCTGCAAGGACATTGCCCAGGAGACGCCTGGGTGTTTTGATGTTTTATCATCCTTGTGGGAGGATTCTCCCATGTCCCTGTATGGGGAGCTGGAGCTGACAGAGGGGAGCTCATCCACGCTCTCCCCAAATTCGAACCTCTGAGTTGTCGGTCTTCAATCCTGCCAGCATAAGGGTTGAACCCATTGCACCACTATTAGACAAATCATTGGGATGCATGAGATACAGAATTTCACAAGCAACAGTCCTGGTCCCTGGCAGTAAAACAATACATTAACTAAGTAAGAATGTCCCTGAGATCCTAAAAAATAATGACAGAATCATGGATTCAAAATGGCAGGATGATTTCTTCCCACAAGCAGTTTTAAACTATTGGGTATTTCTCATAGAGCAACACATCGATCCATCAAAACGTATGGGAGGGGGAGTGAAGGAGGGAGAGAAAGAAAGAAAGAGAGATGCCCTGACCATCAATCCAAAGTGGGTGTGGGCGGACATTCTCTGTTTCCTGCTGCAGAAGCTGACTGAATGAGGAGGAAAAGAGAGGCAGGGAAAGAGCAGCAGGAACCAAGGGGCACTACCAAGTCTTTCCTCCAGCTCAATAAAACTCGGGTGGGTGGGTGTTTATCTGTGTGTATGGATAGGAGATTGTTTGAGCAAACACGGAGAGGGACAAAAGACAGTGTGAGACAAACACATAGACCAGTGGTTCTCAACCTTCCTAATGCCACGACCCCTTAATGCAGTTCCTCATGTTGTGGTGACCCCCAACCATAACATTATTTTTGTTGCTACTGCACAACTGTAAGTTGTGCAGTGCAGAATCGTAATGTAAATATCTGATAGGCAGGATTTAAATTAGGCACAAATACCCAATATGCCCAAATCTGAATACTGGTGGAGTTAGGGGAGGGATTGATTTCACAATTTGAGAGCTGTAGTTGCTGGGATTTATAGTTCACCTACAATCAAAGAGTATTCGGAACTCCACAAACAATGGAATTGAACCAAACTTGGCACACAGAACTCCCATGACCAACAAAAAAATACTGGAAGGGTTTGGTGGGCACTGACCTTGAGTTTTAGAGTTGTAGTTCACCTACATCCAGAGAGCACTGTGGACTCAAACAATGATGGATCTGGACCAAACTTGGCACAAATACTCAATATGCTAAATGCGAACACTGGTGAGTTTGGGGAAAATAGACCTTGACATTTGGGAGTTGTAGTTGCTGGGATTTATAGTTCACCTACAATCAAAGAGCATTCTGAACCCACCAATGATAGAATTGGGCCAAACTTACCACACAGAACTCCCATGACCAACAGAAAATACTGTGCTTTCTGATGATCTTTGGTGACCCCTCTGACACCCCCCCCCCACCCCAGGTGTCCCAACTCCCAGGTTGAGAAATGCTAACATAGACTATCCACACTGCAGAATTATAGCAATTCAACAGCTCTCTGACTGCTGTGGCTTCATCCCTTGGAATCCTCAGTTTTGTGACACCAGAGCTCTCTGAGAGAGAAGGATAAATATTTCACAATTCTGCAGTGTGGATACAGCCACAGAGAGAACCTTACCTGTACATTATTTATTGTATGTATGTATGTATGTATGTATGTATGTATGTATGTATGTCAACCCTGGAGGGACTCAAGGCAGTTTACAACATACTAATGGCAAAAATTCAGTATCAGCATACAGTACACAAAGAAATCATGAGGACTAATTACTACATATGGTTATATGTAGTAATTAGTTATCATGATTTCTTTGT